GGATTCAGACTTGTCTGCAGAATCACAGGGTAATTCAGGCTGGAAAGGATTTCATGAGATCTCAAGTCCAGGCTTACTCTCACAGAATTTCTGGCTGGCCTTGGCAGAAACATTCATCACCAGCTGTTTGCAATCAAGGTAAAGTCTCACTTAACTCCAGACTCAAGAACCCCCTAAGATCATCTGGAAAAAAAATTGAAGAGCCAAGAAAATCAAGTCACTGGAACTATCTCATTGGGACGTATCTTCATCCCAAAGTTTCATCACTTAAAAGAGTAGGAGACTTATTCCTTTGCATATTGATGCACTATATGGCCATCACATTGTCTGTCCTCAGTTTCATACAAGATCATCATGTGTGGAAGAAACATCTAAAAAAATATTAATCAACTGAAGTTCAAAAGTTTAATTATCAAGGGTTTGTTTCTTTACCAACAACAGACTCTGATCAAGGTTTAATCTGTGTAAACTTTTCTCTTTCCTCTTCCAACAAAATGGCTTGTCATGAGGACCTTCACTAGGGGGAAGGGATGAAGAGGAATCTCTGACCACAAGAAAACTACCTGCTTCTTGCCATTTGTGATCAACTGCTATAGAAAACAACAAGCCATATGAAACTGCAGTAAGTTGATTTGGAAAACTGAGTCAGAAAGAATGAGATGCTCCACTAGCCTGAGCGTCGCCACATCTGAGGAAAGAGTCCGAAAATACAAGGGCTAAAGAGCCATGCCTTTTTTTCAATAAGAAGACACAAGGACAAGAAAGCTTTTCTATCATCAGGATAATTTTTAGTAACACTTAAGTTCTGGAGATTTATTAAATAAATAAACCCCCAAACTCATGTACAGTTATAAGATGCACCTCAGTAGTATATGCAACAATAATAAAAGCCAATGCCATATCAAATTGCAATATCAAAGGAATTATTTTTCAACACAGAAGTGCACAACTAGCAACTGTTCTTCTGTACACAGCAGTAAATAATCAGAGTACTAGAAGAGAGCATTTTGTACCACCATACACCAATTACTGCTAAGAAAGAGAATATATATCACAAGTATATATACAGCAAAAGAAAGCAAAAAGTGATGGGCTGCCTTAAAGTCTCCCATCTGTATCAAAACCAAGATTCCAAGCTATTAGCTAAAGAAGTAACTGAATAATCCCTCAAAGAAACTGATTCTCCATCCCTTCTTTCCTTTGTTTGAAGTACTGCATTATCTTTCAACTCTTCCTTTTCACATTCACAGACTAATCATACAAAAATATCTGAAACCAGTAACAACCAATTAATGATCTCCACTATAATGATCTTTACGACTAAGGACTTTATTTTCAACTATTAAATAATTTTTACATATGTACTGTAATTATTTCATTTGTCTTGTCATCTTATTACTTTTGTATTTCAAGTATTTTTAAAGCACACTGGAGTTACGTGTTCCCCTACCCCCCCACTACGTTTTCGGATTGGATGGGGAGTTTTTAAGCATGAAGGACAGAATGCGAAAGAATCTATGAGAATTAATATCTGTTTGGAGTAAGATTATAATTTATAGAAAAAACAAACCAGTCTTAAAACAATACTGAGGTTATGAAGCCAATTGGCACAACCATTCAGTCAGAAGTAACGCATCTACCATTATTTGGCAGTTGATCCTTTCATCTGAACAAGAATAATTCACCATTTAGGCACTCTTAACCTAGCAATCTGCAGAGTAATTTTAATTGCAGTGGCTAAACAAAAAAAAAGGTTCATTTTGCACTCTGCATTTGTCTCTTTGTGAACATGCCAGCACATGATCATTCCTCATCACCCCACCAACAGAGCATATGTACCAGTTTCAGTGCTTTCTTTATAGGCAGTACTTGATTATTTTTTTCCCCCACTAACTACATGGTGTCACACTTCACTTACAATATACTTCACAGATTCCTCTCTAAAGGTAAAATATAATTTCTTAAAAATTTTTCTGCGGTGTTCTTATCAATGAGCCCTGAGGCATGTTCACATCAGTGATTCAGAACCCAGGAGATCTTTTTGGTGCAAATTGTCAATGTGCCTACACTTAGCCTGGAGACATGCACGCCAGTTTGCTGCTGATGTGTTCAAGGTAACTTCTATCCCACTAAAGATTGAAGTTGTTTGCCAAGAATTCTTTGGATTGAGAACTGGCATAGATGTTGCATCCATTAAAAACAAATGCGAACAAACAATTTTGAAATCATAACCACTTGAAACAAATTGAACACTCCATTTTTGCAAAATACCAGTTGGTAGCTACATAATTAACCTTAATATTTAGAAAGTATCGCATGTGTATATTCACAATACTCCAGTAGGATAAAACAGTATAATTATCTCCACTCTACAGGAAAGAAACAATGGCATGAATGCCAGAAAACAAAAATGTCAAAAGAAGAAAATACCAATAACAGTTGTATTAATCCTCATTTTTTCAGGACATTAAACATTGTACGACATTTTACTGTGAAAAATTACAGGCCTCTAATTTCAGTTGGAGGTGTGAAAAATTAGTTTTCTTTTTTACCCCAGTTTGAAGCTCATTTTCTAGAACTTGAGAAGAACCAAAATTACATGGAAAAAGAAGCCTGCTTGTGACAAATGCAGTAACTACAACCCCTTGCTTAATTCACAATATGCTAACTTCTGAAGCTAAACATAGGATTATAAAACTTCATTTATTTCTAGGGCCTATTAACAAAGATGCTACAGTAGAAAGTCATAAACCTGTGATTGAAAATAGGATCCAAGGTGCATACATATCTTCATACATGTGCATGTACATACTCAGTCAAAGCTCAAGTAGGTGGAATCAGGTATGTTCTCCCAATATTCTTTGAAAATAGAAATAACAAATGTGTATCTTTATACAGTTATTGTTTCTAATAGCTTGCTTTTATTCTTTCAGTTTCCTTTAAGCATAGGAAATGGCAATTGAAAAGTCTGGATTTTCCTGAATTCAACTACTGTCATGGGTTGACCCTGGTTGGATCTCAGGTGCCTACCAAAGCTGCTCTATCACTCCCCTCCTCAGCTGGGCAGGGGAGAGAAAATAAAACAAAGGGCTCATGGGTTGGGATAAGGATGGGGAGAGATCACTCACCAGTTACTGTCACAGGCAAAAGACTTGACTTGGGGAAAAGTTAATATATTACCTATCAAATAAGAGTAGGGTAATGAGAAATAAAACTTAAAACACCTTCCCCCCCACCCCTCCCTTCTTCCTGGGTTTGGCTTCACTCCTGATTTTCCCACTCGATGCAGGGGGACAGGAAATGGGAGTTCCGGTCAGTTCATCACATGTTGTCTCTGCCACTCCTTCCTCTTCAGGTGAAGGACTCCTCACACTCTTCCCCTGTTCTAGTGTGTGGTCCTTCCCATGGGAGACACTCCTCCACGAACTTCACCAACATGAGTCCTTCCCACAGGCTACAGTTCTTCACAAACTGTTCCAACATGGGTATCACCTTCCATGGGTGCAGTCCTTTAGGAACAGACTGTTTTAGCATGGGTCCCCCATGGGGTCACAAGTCCTGCCAGCAAACCTGCTCCAGAGTGGGCTCCTCTCTCCCTGGCGTTACATGTCCTTGCCAGGAGCCTGCTTCAGCATAAGCTTCCTATGGAATCACAGCCTCCTTTGGGCATCTACCTACTCTGGCCTGGGGTCCTCCATGAGCTACAGGTGGATCTCTGCTCCACCACAGACCTCCACGGAAGGAGCTGTCCCAGTTGCTTCACCATGCTCTGCATCACAGGCTGCAGGGGAATCTCTGCTCTGGTGCCTGGAGCACCTCCTCCTCCCCCTCCTTCTCCACTGACCGTGGGGTCTGCAGAGGTGTTCCTCTCACATAGTCTCAACTTTTCTCTCTCTGGATGAAGCTGCTATTGCACAAAATTTTTCTTCCTCCTTCTTGAATATGTTCAGAATGTCCCAGAGTTGCTATGCCCATCACTGATGGGCTTGGCCTGGGCCAGTGATCTTGGAGCCAGCTGGCATTGGCTCTGCCGGACATGAAGAAAGTTTCTAGCAACTTCTCACAGAAGCCATATCCCTGTAGCCTCATCCCCTACCAAAACCTGGCCATGCAAATTCAATACAACTAGGAAGTAATTGGCATTCCACTAAAAATTTTATTACCTCTCTTCAGAGCTGTTCTTGAAACTTTTCTACAGAAATGTATTTTGGATTTCTTTTTTAACAAATTAAGTATCTCCTCTTAAATCATAACATATAAGGAGCTAGAAAAAATGAGGCAGCCTACTTCATTCTACCTAAGCTGTTCAAGTTAAAGAGGAGGTCACAATCCTTCAAAAATTAGCACACATTTTTCATGCTCTCAAAGAGATAGCATATATATATGTTACACCTTCCTCACTCATGATACTATCAAAAATATTAGCAAGGGTTAGGCCAATGAATATGTCAATAATGCCTCCCATTGCACCGAACAGCATTTTTTCACCATTTCCTTGAACATATTGTTCTGTCTCCATTCTTCTCCAGTTTCTTTTTTTATTCTTAGACTGTAAATTTGCTAAGGCAAGCCTACCTCACACACAGATGTCTAATTAATATACTTTTTAATCAACCAACAAAAAAAGCTAACCTTGTCTTTCAGATGTTTGTGGTCACTTACCTGCTTGGTGAATTAATTTAGCCATATAATACCTGTATTTCACAAAGGACATCGGCTTCCTAGCAATCTAATGGTAAAGTAAGATATTTCTAGTATTCATCAATAAAAAGCCTCTTTGTAGCTTGCCTTCTTTATCCATAGTTCAGGTAAATGCCCAACAAAATTACTACGATCATAAGCAAAAAGAGAGGAAAAAAAAGCCACCTTTAAAATACATTACTGTGCCTTTTGCCCAATTACTTACTTTAACAAGCAGCTATTCAAATCTGTAACGCAACGTACACATCAACTACATCCTCACATTCACATATTTAGATATTTTTCATTTGTTGAGTTACCTTATCTGCATCCACTTTTCCTCTGATAAATTCCCTCTTCCAGAACTCCAGTGCCTGTTCCAGAGTCAGGCCGATGCCCTTTAGGAACAGCCCATACTGCATCCGCCCCCCGTGACGGAGGTGGTGGCTGTCGCGCAGCGCTTTGTGCAACTGCCGCATGCAGAGAGGGAACGACTTCACAGAAAGCTGGCAAGAGAAAAATTCCTGTTTAGGGCATACTGATCATTTAATTTGTAGGATACATGCTTCCTGTGATTATTAACTAGCTCCACTTGAAAATGTCAATGGCTGGAAGAAAAGCTATGCGTGTACAGAGAGCTTTGGGACTGACCATAACACAAGTGGGTCCGTAAGCCATCAAATCCAACAACCATCTCAAAAGCCAAAGGACAGAGGGGTACAGACTATCTTCAGCTACAAAGTAACACAGGTTTAATTGCTGCCAGGAAACATATATCTACAATTCCATTACAATATTTCTTGTCTCTTCCTTATTTCAGCTGCTGGAACGGCAAAGTGACCTATGATAAGAGTTCCTGGGGGCTAGGGAAGGGGACTTTTTTCTAAAAAACATCTTTGAAAAACAACAAGCAAGAGTAAAATTCCTTGCAACTAATCTGCAGGTTTTACTCCCTGAAAAATACTATTTGGCATAAAGCAAGATCTCAGAGAACAGAAAACATGTAACATTCAATTTTACTTAGGCTTTGCATTTTTATTTTTTAACATGTGAGTCGTGCCATCGAATTCACTACCAGAGGAACTCTGTAATGGTTAAGATGGACACTGAAAACACACACATTTCTTAAAATTCAGATAAAATAGTTACTATGTGTTTTTAATTGACTCTATAACATTCATGTGTGTTTTACAATCCATTTTATTTACTTCGCTGTTTTCAAAACCCCTTCTGTAAGTCAAAAAAAGAGCAGTGAAAATACTAATACGGGAATGGAATAATCATAAACTAAACATCATGGGTTGCAAGATTATTCAATAAGAAAATTTTGTTAAACTCTCCTTATAATTATGTTAGGTATTTGTGAAAGTACACAAAATTAAGCGGAAAATTAGGCAATTCATTATAGCCCTGATTAGAGGCATTTTTAGTTAATTCTGGTTTATTTTGAACTTTATCACAATTTCATTCAACAGTTAAAAATAAACTATGAATAAAAAAAAGAGAAACATTTTTTATGTTGTTTGTACATAGAGTATTTGAATTTAAAAAGTTATGTTTCAACATACTACGTAACTCCAGAAACACAGAGGACTTACAGAATCAATCTGCTCTAGAGAAATTTTTCCAGTGTTCTTTTGGACGCTGTAATCTGGGCCAACATAAGAATGGCTGAAAAACAAAGCAAACAGAAGAGCACCATTTAAAGCTGCTCAAAAAAATATTTTTTTAAGTATACGAATGTAGAAAGAAATTATTTTATCAATTCTAGGCTGCAATTATTTTATATCAGCAAAACCAGAAACCAAGTAATTGACACTTATAAAACCAACTTTAGAGCCAATACAGTAAAGAAACGCTCCCTACCCCCTTTGTCTGGAAAGAGTGGTGAGGGGTCATCACAGTATCATGCTACTGTTGAGGTTGAGAGAGGCCACTGAAGATGATCTAGTCCAACTCCCTGCTCAAAACATGTGCTTGCTACAGCAGGTTGCTTAGCACCTCATCAAGCTGGGTTTTGAGCATCTCCAAGGACAGAGACTCAAACTTCTGAGTAACCTGGTCCAATGTTTGACCACCCTGGCAATAAAAAAATCATTTTCTTATGTTTTAAGAGGAATTTCCTGTATATCAGTTTGCACCCATTGCCTCCTGGCCTATCACTGCATACAACTGAGAAGAGACTCACTCTGTATTCTTCATTCCTCCTCTGATACAGACACCTATTTATATGCATTGCTAAGATTCACACCCACACTGTCCCGAAACATATCTTCTCCAGGCTGAACAGTCTCAGCTCTCTCAGCCTCTTCTCCTATGTACTGGGGAGACCAGGACTGGACACAGCCCTGCACATACAGTCTCACCAGTGCTGAGTAGAGGGGAAGGATCATCTCCCTCAAGCTGCTGGGAGTGCTCTTCCTAACACCATGCAACCAGCTGTAACCATACACTACAGCAGAGACAGTCACACATCAGACACTGTCACCAAAGTAACCTCAAATCAAATTCAACACCTAATGCCCAGCTTTTACTTTTAAATATATAGACTTCTTGAATGAGGATATATGCAGGGCTGCAGAACAGGATCAGAGAAATGCTTACAGCAGAACCCAACCAAAGTCAAGAGCTGACAGCACAGCAGGCAATAAAGCAAACAGGGGCTTTGGATACAGCATACTCATCCAAAAAGTAGGTTGCAAAACCTGGGTAAGAACAAATATCCTTGTGCAAGAGGGATTTTTTACCTAACTTCTTAAATCTTTCGACAGCGTGCAGAGTTTAACTCCAGAAAAAAAGACATTTTGTTAAATGACAATACTAGGTGCTGCAAATTATTTTGTGGCATTTCAATACCATGAAGTATGAAAAGCATACAATGAACAGTTGATTTTACTAGAGTACAAATAGTTTGTTTAATTATAGTGCATTCATTTATTCTTTAGCCTTACTTCTCGCACACACTGGAGCACTAGGAAAGCCTGCTGTACTTAATAGATTTTTTTCATTACACAACAAGATAATACAGAATAAGATAAATAATTTAAAGTATTTGAGCTGTGTATGTCTATTACTATGAATTTTACTATAGAATTATCTAAATTCCCTTGTAGAAACAGATCTGCATCAATTTACTTAAGCAAACTATAAACAAAACAGAAATCACAGTGCCCAAAATATTACAATCGAAGCACAGAACAACAAACAACAGCTGTTTCTTAGGCAACTTTTTTTTTTTTTTTATAAACAACCAATTAGGAAAACCAGTAAATGATCACATCCCAGGATGAGGGCTGGTAACTTCTTAAGCTGTTCCACCATAATAATTTTAGATCACCTGCTTATATCCTAAAGTATTCATTAGAATCATATTAATACTGAAAAAAATTGCTAAGCTAAAGAAAATTACTTTTTCCTAGCTTCCATAGAAAAGGTTGGCCTGGGAAGAGAAGGTCCAAAGAGAAGACACAAGTTTTCCTACAAGTGAACAAAGTAAGACTTCAGAAGTTACTGTTAAAAGAGGACATGCTCTCTGAATCTTACTGACCATTATATCTGGACCTGGTAGAAAACTCTATTGCAAGGAGAGAAAACTCAACGCTAAGAAGGGGTTGAGGGGGAGAAGAAAAAATTCTACTTATCAGACTCTGAAAAGGTCAAATATTTTCATCACGGTACACAAACAGGAAAAGTTATTAATTTTTTTACATTAAAAAGCAGCACATGACCTTTGCAAGGTCAAATTTTCTTGATACTTGACACTACTCACCAAAGAGCTGAACCCTACAAATTGCCTTCAGAGGTGGTGCTCTGAAAAAGAGTATGAGCTTTATCTATCCAGAATACATGGTAGACTAGAGTTAGGCACAAAGGCCAGCACTAGCCATATGGCCTTTGGCAGCTAAGCTCTTGGATTCCTGTCCCAAGGAGCTCAAGGGACTAAAGTTTTCAGGTTTGCAGTTTCAGGTGCCAGGTCTTCTGATTTTCTACAGTAGAGATTCTCCAAGTCCCTTGGTTTCATCATAAAAAAAATCACACTGCTTTCTCCACAGATTGCCATTATTTTCTCTACATTTCTAGTAGAAAAATCTCAAGAATCTTGCAAAAATAAAAATCTAAAACTATTCTTTGTTCTGTGAACAATGGTCCTCATTTTTTTCACATCATTAAATGTAGGCAAACAGCTTCCTACTGCTGATCTGAAAACACATTACGACACAAACTAGCCAGGTTTGTGATCATTCTCACTTTCTTATATTTTTTGCTTTCAGTTTTAGCTCTTATTTTGGACTCATTCTTTCTTTTATTTGACATAGCTCTTGAGCTTACTTCCTGACCTTCTTACTCACCTAGAAATATTTATTTTCGTGGTTTACTGGAATGCAAGCAGCAATGTCTTCACTTTTCACTTAAAAGTTTTGTTTTATCTCCATATATAAATTCCTGTCTCTCCATTCAACCTCCATTCACTCAAAATCTGCTTTTCTAAAATTCAATATCTTAGTTACCAGAAGTTTTCTAAAACACCTAGCAACTAAAGATCAATACATACATTTGCACAGCTGTTGACCAAGAAGAAACTCCCACTACATCAGTGCTTCCAAGAATGGGATCTATGTCTTTCAAATAAACAGCTGTAGGACGGTTTTGATAAATATTGTATTATTCACGGATGTGTTAGTGTATTACAAGATTTAGTGAGGGTATGAAGGGCGCTTTGTAGATGTTGAGGATAATAAATAACAACTGCCCATCAAGGTGTGCATTCTTCTTTACTTGCTTGTGAGATGAGCATAGGTGAGAAGGAGGTTGAATATGTCTGCATGAGTATTGCATTATCTATTAAAAAAATCCAGTCTTGCAAAACCCTTGGTTTCTGTATCAACCTTATGAACTATCACTTAAAGACAGAATTAAGAGAATCATATAAGTGGTGGTTGTAAAGGACTTTAGAAGACCATTTAGTCCCATACCCCACTTTAAATAGGATTACTGCCAACACTAGTCAGGTGAGCCATGGCTTTTTCCAGCTGAATCCTAAAAATCTCCATGAACCGAGATCCTATATCACTGTATAATCTGCTGCACAATCATTCTAGTATAGACATTTTTCCGAGTGTTTGATCTAAACCTCCCAAGTTGTTGTATGTGACCACTGTCATTTGTTATATCCTCTGACCATCGAGAATTCCAACACCATGATGTTTCTCCTTCAAACAGTTGTAAGCTGCTATTTGATCATCCCTAAGCCTCTCTTTAACAAGACTAAATAAAGTCAACTCAGTTTCTTCCTGTAATTCATAAATAGGTCCAGTCCTATAGTAGTTTGATGGGATCACAAACAACAGTTTTTGTCTATTCAAAATTATTCCTGCTGAAGATTTTAAACAGTAGAATGTTACACCCCTATAATGCCATCACACACCCCATATAAAGCAGGAGTTGCAGAACTGTTCTTCTCATGCATTTAGACAAAGTTTCCATCTCTATTAAATTGCTAAAGTTTTAGCAATTTAAATCTCTTTGTAGCCTACTGTGAGCATGGGAAATCCCTAAACACAACCTTGCAGCAAATGTTTTAACATTTTTTTTTATCTAGTATGAGTAGTATTAGACAGCACCAATGAAACAGAATTGGACAAAAAGAGTATCTAATCACAGACAATATATATATTTAGTCTAGAACTATCCAATTACAAAACATATGTTACATCCACTAAAAAAAAAAAGGGAATGGTTTACAATATCTATGAGGACATAATCCACAGTAACATCACCTTTTCTGAGGACTAGTTAATTTGTAAGTCACAAGCAGATATGAATGGGTGCCAAAAAAAGTGCTGGGCTTTACCAACTAAACAATACTCTGTAACCTTCAACTGTATGCTCTTTTCATACATTTCTATCTAAGCTTTTGCTCCCCTGATAGAGTTCTATTGACATATGCCAAAAATAAAATACTGCTGTAAGAATTCAGACAATGAAAGGCAGAGAAAAGTCTACAACTAACTAATATTCTCTTTTCTTGTGAGTAAGATGAAGCACAACGAATCACAGATTCACAGAAACAAATAACAGAGATGACCTATTTGGTCACCTGTTTGTTTACTGCCAGAGCCTGCTTTTCAAGTTGTAAGGTTTGATGTATTTTCTCCATTTTAAATGAACTTGCAAAAAGGCAACTTGGAAGCATTTGTATAATTTTTTTCAGTTGGGGACAAAAAATACTGGAATCAGTCCCTCCATTTTCACAAAATCAAAATGGAAGTAACTTACCAGTTGTGTAACATACGTACCAAGATAATAAAAGAATGTACAACAAGTAGCATAAATGTGGGATACAGTATCTCTGTTAAAGTAACTTTTTTTTTGCAACCTTTTCCCATATTTAAAAAAAAAAAGCATAGACAGGACTGACTGCTGTGATGCTGAAAGCTGTTTCCACTGACATAGACACACAGCATATATCAAAAGAAATTTCCAATTTCTCAGTAATTACTCCTAGAGAGCACAGTTTATAAAAAGCTAACTTAATTGCCCTTTATCTTCAAATGGAGAAAGGCATGCCATTGAGGAGTATTTTTTAAAATCCCAGTGAGATGTATGGTAACAATAACATTGAAGGTTATTGGCATTCAGAAGTATCCCTAACCAGCTATGTAACAGTTACACTGCAATACTTGTTTTCATTCATTGCTCTTGAACAAAGTTCAATCATATGTAAATAAGGAGAGATACAAAAAAGCTATTTTTTCTATTCTGATTTCCACTAAAAACAGCAAAACATAAACCTCTTCCTATAAATTAAAAATTATAAAACTTTTTTTTTAATTGAAATAAAATGTTAGGTTTTAGGCACAGATACCTAAAGCAGTAGAGCACCACAAGAAATAAGGAGCATGCTAACTAGATCTGCATCCTAATTCCTGTGCAGTGCTGCCATGATGGAGCTTCAACAATTCCATTTCTAATTCATCCAACATAATTTCAGTAATCTTAATGCAAAGCTGTACATGTTCAAAAACAGAAATTTCATTACTGACATCCAATATTTAAGTAAATTTCTATCCTTAGAGATATTAAAAATTCAACAGAAATAAATATCTGAGCAACCTGATCTAACCACTAAATCATCTCCAGAGGTTCACTCCAAGTTAAATTATTCTATGATTCTAAGTCATCTTCCTCTAATTGTATGGATCTTGTCCTCCTGCATACTACCATAGTAAGAAAACTCTCCCATATATAGTGGTAAAAAGCAATCACATATGTAAGAAAGAGACCAGATGCTTAACCTGAAGAACATCAGGAAAGTTTTTTTTCTTACTCTTCTTCCCTTTTCTACAAATAAAGTAGGAAGTATATATATCTATATATACATACCACTAAGAGTGAGGCAGACTATTTAGTTTTGTTGAAACATACTCTAATGGTTCACTTTCAGCAACCTCCTTAGGTCCATTAAAAGAACAAATTAGGACTCCATTCATCAATGACAGTGAAATCTTCCAAAACCAGCACAGAATACTTGCAACAAGGAAGGCCCATGCTCTAAGCAGTGTAACTTGAATCTGTTTAGTTCATAAAGAACCTTAACAACTTTGCACGTACTATAAAAAATGTTATAAAAGCTACAAATAATTTTTGTTACTTATAAGCAACACTAGTTCTATAAATTATATTTCATGTCAGTCACATAAGAGCTGGACTCAATGATCCTTGTGGGTCCCTTCCAATTTAGAATGTTCTGTGATCTGTGATCCTGTGATTTATAAAGCTTTTCTTAAGTTGAAGGGTTACTTTTGGGTTTTTTCCAATCAAAGCCAATCACACAGATGAGGTGTCTGAAAAAATCCCTGTACCTAAAGCATTCTACTAACACAATTATTATAATCTGTATGAAGGAATATACTCATGCTTTCAGTTTATGCTACCTGAGATGATTAAGCAGAGGTTGTAGTCTCTCATCAGACTGTATGGAAGGTAGCGATCGCGCTGTCAGCTGGAAGAAAACAGAAGTTCAATTAATAAAATATTACCTTAAAAAAACTGATAGCAAAAACCAGGAATTACGTAAGAAGCCATTCTGCGTTGTTACAACTTTACACAACATTGGGTAAGACAATTTCTCCTATTAAAAATAATTAAGCACAGCCTTCCAGAGTCTGAAGTTAGCAGAAATATTTACAAGTTAACAAACAGTGAAAAAATATTTTTCTAAAATTACAATGCTATTTGAATTAAATAGGAAGACATAATCGAAAGTGGTATACTTTTTTCCAAACGTATTTGAACTAGAAGTCATATTCTGCCTAGACAGCTTCAATGAATCACATAATGTAAATATATTCCATGAAGCCATATTATATACAATTTACATTTGTATAAAAGGAATTTACATACTATTTAGCACTATATGACTTTTATACAGACGTGCCTCTGTGTACACTGTTCTTTTTTAAATGGGCATAACTTCTATTTTGTAATTTGACTGTTTTAAAATAAATACATACTTTATTTCTTATAACTCATTCACATGACTAGTTAAAGCATTCAACTTTCTCTGCAAAAATAAACCTAATAATCTGTAGATCAAAAAAACCGTCACACTACTGCAAAATACTAGTTAGTTGATGTATTAACTAAAATAATTGGAAAAATATATGTATTAAATTTGCTTAGTATCTGTGTATAGGTTTCTACTTTCACCTATAAAAGTTACAAAGATCAGCACTTCAGATAATTCTGACTTACACCTAACATGAAATATTTAATACAACATGCATTTAATGATTCTATGGCTACCAAGTTAGGCTGTATTTTGAAAAGTACCTCTGTACAAATTTAAAATTTCAACATATTTCACATTGTATAAATCACCATCAAGTTCTTGAGTATCTTACAGGTAACTCAAAAATAGCATGCACTGTTATATACACTAACTAAAAATATCATTGTAAACAAAAAAAACCAAACCCTACCATTAAAAAAGCCACCATTTTTAGCATGAACAGTTTAGCTTCACCATTCTTCCTCCAACACACAAATAAGGCAAGCACTGAAGCAGGACTACCTAGTAGGCTGCAACTTATATTTATAATCCACAAATAAATATGCCCAAGAATAAGCCACACAGTGTCTGGGTATAGAGGTTTAGTTGTAACTCTAAGAAACTCCACACCAAGCTCCATTGTCTCATAGCTACACTATGTGAGGACGGAGTTCAATATTTTCCTGAGAGACCACCCACCCATTCATCACATCCATTTCATAACCTTTGCTGCCAGGCAGAAGTCAGAATGGGATCAAATCTTAAACTGGTGCCTCAAGCTTGCAATACCATCCACCAGCTAAATGAGAGGAGGTTCAAAAGAGCTATCTGTCAAGTGAAAGTTGAAAGTTCTGAACGCAGGGACAGTGGGGAAGGGGCCATTCCAGCTGTTCAGGTGGCCCTGGACTGCAGCAATCACTGCCTCACAACACAGCTCTTCTTAGTCCCAGGTAACCCAAGAGTACTCATCCCATTTGGTTGCTGCAGAAAAGGTAACCAGGCAGTCTCAGCAATCCATTAATCTTCCTTTTTTAAAAGGCAGCTATCTTGGCAATTAAAGCATGATCCCTTATTTTATGGAGCTAGAATGAGATGCATATGGTATACTAAAAATTCAGTAAGCTCTGTATTTATTCAGAAGCTTCTTTTGATAAAAAACTTGTCTTTTTACCACTGAATTTTAAAGGCCAATATACTTATTGTTCTATATTCATGTCCCTGGTAAAGTAAACCTCTCATTTTGCTTTAAACACCATCAGAAAAACAAAAATTATGTTTGAAAAGAACTTGGAAGCCTTCTAAACACCATTCAAGTTATTCCACTTGTAAAATCAGAACAAAGACTGAATTACAGGAAATACCATCTGCTTCTTTTCCATTAATAACTTAAACAATACAAAAAACAATATTTGCGTGCACACTCACATACATATGTATCCTTTCACATGAGACAAGCATACAGCATTTTTCTCTACAGAGTACTTGAAATATCACATTTAATCAGAAAAAAAATTTCCTTGCTATAAACAACACATTTATGACAAGATGTTTATGGAAGTCAAATTGGACAGTGATATAAGTAGCAAAAAAAAGTAACATTCAAAATCTGAAAAAACATTGACATTAAAGTTATATATAGAGTAGAACTACATTGCTACATAAATACCATCAATTAACAAAAACACTGGTTTAAAACTAATTTTGGAGTCTTGTAGGAATTGAGGCAGAACCAAGAACTGATCCTGGAGTTTTTTGATGTGAAAATAAGATCTAACACCTTTCAAATCTTAAAACAAACACTTTGTAAGGTTAGATCAAATGTTTATTTTCATTAAGATATGGGATCCTCATGACACTGTTCTAAACTAAGATAAAGTTATGCCAAATCTAAGGATAGCTTTCTTTAAACACAATTGAGGAAACTTCATCAAAATATTTGAACAATTTTAACTGAAAGAGCACATTTTGCTTTAACTTACTTGGATTACAAAATAAAACCTAACATTTTCGTATGTAAAGTCATTCATCACAATTATATTTTTTCTAACCGATCCACAGTGTAAAGAAAATCAGCTTTAACAAAGGTGATGTAAGATTATTGCTCATGTGTTCAAGCAGCTAAGAATTTTATGTTTTCAACAGCATTTCTCTAAAAGATGATCCCTATTATAGAATTCAAACTAAGATTCTGAAGATTTTTTCCAACAACTCTAAAATGAAATTTAGATAAATTCTTGCAAGCACAGCCTTGCTTTCATCTCTATATGGTACTCAACATAGAGACCATTTTACCAGAAAAAAAAAATGGAAAAACAGGACATTTGATATTTTAGAGACCCGAAAGACATCAAAATGTTGTCAAGTAAAGAGCATAGCTCCAAATTCTAATCATGTTGAAGGTTTAATTTAGAGAGAACATAAAACACTGCCAACTTCAGATATTTCCAGTCCCAGGGCCTGGCTCATCAGAGCGGGAAGCAGAGTGACTCAGACAAGAATGTGTGGACACCTCAGAGCTGAGCTGAGATGGAGAAAGCTGAGGTGAGTGATCAAGGCAAGTTCAGTACAATATCACACAGCATTTAAAATTAAGAAAGGAGAAAGAACACTTAACAACATAAGAAAAAGGAAGTATTTTAAGTCTAAATTTCAAAAGTCTACCATCACCTGTGACCTTAGAACATCCTGTTCAGCAATAAGACTAAGGAGCAGTTTTTCCAAAGTAGCCATTGCTGGGCATCAGTCTGCTGGTGGTGAGCATCACTTGTGGTTTTTTTCTTCTTTCTTTTATCACTTAATAAACTGTTTTCACCTCTATCCGTGAGTTTTCTTATTTTTGCCCTTCCTGAACTACTTCTCCATCCCTCAGGAAAGGTTGGAAGGGCAGAGAGAGGATTTCCTGCCAGCCAGGGTCAATCCACCACTTACATATATATACTCATTTTACACCAATAAGAGGCTGATAAATTTCAGCTTATGTACCAACAAATATATCACCAAAAACCCCAAAACAACAACAAAAAACCCCACCAAACAAACACATAACAAAACTCAAACCCCCACAATTATACAGCAGGTTTAAATGTACCAATAACTTACATCTCTACCGGATTTTCCCTGAGAAATCTGTGAAACGAAACAAATAAAGTGGAAACCTTGATGCTAACATAGACTTGACAATTTTGTTTCTGTAGACAATAGCTTAATCAATGTTAATAAGTGTGTAGAAAATGAATAAAATAAATAAACAAAGACATGGTTCTAAGGATGTAGACTTCACAGAAGCCTTCTCAATGTGACATTAGGTCACTGCATTTCTGTAAGGTCACACTAAAATTAGCCTTATTTTAACTAGATGCTAACAAGATTTAACAAGATGCTAACACTGCATCTTGCTGAAATTTCTAATACAATGGTAACATTTGAGAAAAAAAGAAAAGTCAGAAACAAACTTAGCTTAGCTTAGAGCTGAGCTAAAGCAGGATCTGACATGGTGGGGAGGAAGGGAAAACTTTCCCTTCTTCAAACCTGCTGCTAAAGGTCCTGATATGAACTATTCATCTCCATTAAAGACTAAATAATAAGCCTATTTTCAGGAATTTAAAGTCTATTTATCTAGCAAACAAACTCTGGCAGAAAACAGAGGTGCTATTAACTGCATTGCTCCTCAAACCATTCAATTCTTCGATAATGATTAAAAAACATGCTGTACATCTGTTAGAAACGGAGTCTTCCTTCTCACACCTCTGACTACAGTCTATTTGATTTCATTAAGTGCATCACCCAGATGAGTATGAGCCTGCACAGCAGTGAAGTGCAAGAGGGAAATAAGGTAAAAGATAAATGAAAACAAATATATGAGTAAAATATGACATGATAGTAGTACGTTCAAAGGAACTGTATACAATTAGAAATTACCTTTTGTGGAGTGAAATAAAATCAGGTTTTACTCTGCTAATCCAACACTACTATAGCTATTCACATCTTTCTACTGAATTTTTTTAAAAAGAGACTCCATTTAGAGATAGCTATTTAACACTACTAAGTAGTACATTTGTTCCAACTAACTCATTAATACTAAACAAACTTTATTCAAAGATCTGTTTGGCAAGCATTGGAAGATGTTTTCCAGATGTAATCAATCTAGCAGAGTATCAGCTTTCATGTAACCTAAGCCTGACGTACACCTTTTTTATTGACAGCACCATAGCCATGGCATATCTGAGTCAGAATTACAGATCCCAGCTTTTCCCCTTCACCAGGAATAGCTGAAAAACAAGGGAAGACAGTAAGATGTTTTCTGTTAAAATTTTTACTTTAATTCAGGATTTTTTTCCTTGTCCCCAGTTTATCTATCCTTCTGGAGTCTCTGTTTGATCAAAAGGAAAACAATCTCCAAGAGATGCTACAAAAGCCTTCGGGAAGCTTTCCTCCTCTCATCCTCATTTTAA